TTGTCAGTTTTCCTCCACTTGATTATGGGTTCTCTTTCCATGCCTCTACTGCAGAATCTGCTATACATACGTCAGTTTTTATAGAAACGTTTCACAGTATAATTTTCCCCTCCTTCCCCAAAAATTGTTTCATGATTAACATTTTTGTCTCTCTTTTGGGAGAGGGTACTTGCATGCCTTGCCCTACACTGGTTTTGGTTCATTTTGCCTTAGCTTACCATCAGGCAGATTTTCTTCTAGATTGTATATACTTAGAATCTAAAACCTGTATGGAGGCAGTATCTGTTCATCCTATCCATTTATCCCCAACCTAGTTTTCCAGCTTTGTCTTACCTTACTGACTCTCCTACAAGAAATGTCTATCTTCCACCTCCTCTTTTATGTGTTCCACCTATATCTATGGGATTTTTGTGGGATACTTCCTCCTTCTTCCCTCCATGTTGAGGCATTGTCATCCTCAGTTCTTTCTCTTCCCTCCACACGACTTTTTTTTTGCTTTTGGGTTCTTCTGGGATGGGACACTGTCTTGTACCATTTGTTTACCATCCACTTCTAATAGGGACTTACTGTCAGCTCTTTTTCTCAACCTGTCCTTTTTTTTTTGGCTACTCCTGTGCATTTAGTATCATGTGGGGTTTCTGCAATGCTGTATTCTATATTTTTGGATACCCTTTTGTTTCTTTATGTGACACTGCCACAATTATTCTTATTCTATGTCCAGCACTTTCCCGTCCTTTACCTGTCATACTTACGGGTTTCTCCATTCTTTGTTTATGCTCGATGCTGATTGGAGTTCTGGATTGATCGGTCCTGCCTCAATCACTTCTTAGTTCTTCCCCATTTTAGTATATAGTCTTTCATCACAATTGTGTGGGCAATTTTAGCATTTCTCGGGATGTTACCTTTTTCACCACGTAATTTGGTACCAGTTTCATGCCTTGCCTTTCAGATTTGTTTTGGTTCCGTATGTCTTTTGTCAGGGGGGGTCTACGATGTATCTGACTTCCGCTAGTTGGATGTCTGGTTTCGGTTAGCTCCTAATGAATGGGGTGGTCATCACATACTATGTAAGAGGCAGAAGCTACTTGAATGGTTGGATTTCCAGTTGGGTAAGTACTTCCTGTTACCTACTTAACAATTTAATCTATTTGGGGAGTGTCTTTTTACATTTCCATTTACATTGGGATCGTCCATTCTCCACCTCGATTGCATGCATTGGAGATTTGTTATCCACACCAATTATGGTTAACTGTCTTACTGCTAACGAGGTTTTAATGCATTGGGAATATGGCTTCTATGGGTGCACTTCATCCTTTGGGTCTGGCACATTTGCGATTTATTTGGGAGATGCTACACGACCCATGGTAGGATTCCTTTGGATTAGCCTCGTAACTTTCTTCGTTGCCTCTTTGACTATATGTTCAGTTCACTTTTTTTCTCTTGTTCAGATTTCATGTTTCATTCTGACTATTCGATGGTGGTGGCTTATTTCACTCACTAAGGGGCACTCGATCTTGTTCCCTTTGGGGGTTGACAGTGGATTTCCCTTTTTGAACCCACACATTTAACATGCATCTCCTTGCATGTTGTGTTCCAGGTGCTTTCATCCTCATTTCAGATCACCTTTCCAGTCATGACGCACTTTCTCCCAAGGAATGGCATCTCGATCCTTACATTTTTGGTGGCTCTGCATCCTGTGAGGTACTTCTCATTGGGAAGTATTTCACTCCTTTCTCAATTCCAAGTTAAATCTTTTATTTTATTTTTGGTTTATCGTCCACTCACCCTTGCTGTCGATACATTCAAACAGGATTAGATCAAATTTACAACTTTAGTTTTTCTCATTCTCTCTGTCTTCTTCCCAAGGTGCTTTTGATCATCCATGTTGCTTCGGTTCAGGTTTTTCTGATTGATACTTCCTGGCTGGCACAGATTTGGTTTTCTTGGCTGTTTTGGCTAGATATGTTCTATTTTCTCTGGATTGATTATATTAACCTACACTTTGGGGGCTCATGTGGACTATTCTTTTCATCATTTTAATTTCTTGCCATCTTCCACCTTTATTCTTGGTCAGATCTGGATGTCCTTCACTGTTCCATAAATGCTCTGGTTGCCTCATTGCTTTCAAGGATTCTATCTCTTGACTCAATTTCCTGCAGTGTTATTCCCTTGCACAACTCTTTTGTTTATTATTTTTTTTCCTTTTTTACCTTATCCATTGCTCTATGGCACATGCCACTCTGTACTCACTAGATTTTCATCTATTTATCTGGGAAGTATACCTGTTCTACAATCTGGAGCCTAGTAGTTGTGTGCCATAAGGTCAATGAATCCCTGAATATTGGATCAACAGCCATCACAACTTAGATCTACAAGCTGTACTAGATAGTGCCACACAGACTATGTATGTTGACCAATCATCAAATGAAGAGGATTTTTTTGCCACACTTTGTTACTAGAGGATGGAAACAACACAGAAGTGCTTAGTTAACAGTTACGAGCAGGGTTGGTTGGTGCCAGTGAGGCTTTTCAACAGTAGAAGAGTATTTTTTACTCTGTTGGCCAGCTTGCACTTACCTGATAAATAGCAGCCTCATTCTATGAGTTTTTGATCTACTACCATTTATTCCTTGTTAGGGCAGACAAGGATAGGAACTGGAGCTTTGAACAGTGAGTAGTTAATATGTCGCCTACAAACAATGGTACACAGTATAGACCACCAGTAATAAATCCAATAATATTTAGTTTTGGCTTCACACTTTATGTGGAGTAAAGGCAAAAAAAAGTCAGTGTCATACTCATACATATATATATGTATTAATAACCTTTCTTTGTTGTCAGCAAACCTAATTCTAACTACATGCATACCATTGAATCAATATTGAAAACAAAGGGAATATCTTAAGGTTTTGTACCAGCAAATGGGTTCAGTAGTGAAAAAAATCATTCAGTTTTGGTATGTTGGTCATTAAAATTGGTCAACAGTTATGTGGTTATTTAGTTTTCTTTTCAAACCTTGATGCTGCTTTGACAATATTTGATGGAGATATAGATTTATGAATTTACTTAGAAACAAATTATTGATATATAAACTAAATGTATAAATAATGTATTATCTTATCAAGATGTAATGTAGACTGGGTTAGTCCAAACTAAAGAGCTTAATAAACAGATTCAATAATACTTGTTAGGCTGGTTAAAGAAAAAATCAGTAAAAATCATATTAAAACATGTAACAACCAATTTGTTTAGCAAATTTACATTACAACAGGAAAATGGAAGCATAACTGCTGTGACTCTGTAGCTTCTGCTTGATACAAGTTTAAGGAATGCAAAGTAATATTATGAAACTCACATAACCAGGTGCACAGGTGGAGGATATAATTGACAGAGCAAGAGATATAATAAAGGGGGTTAGCATTCATCCAGTTTTTGTTGTGCAGATAGGGGCTAATGATGTAGGGAAAGGAAGATCAGAGGAGCTAATTAATAAGTACAAGGTGTTGATAAAGGCATTTAAAGAAAAAGGCCATAACTTAATTGTGTCAGAGATACTGCTGAGAATTAATTGTTGGGAGGAAATTTTGAGTAGGTCATTAGAGCTAAAAGCTAGGCTTAGGTTAATAAGTAAGGATAAGCAGGTTGGACTTGTGGGATCAGTTCAATGGGAGAAGGGAGCTTTTTGGAATGGATAGTTTACACTTAAATTGGGTAAGATCTGGCTGTAAGGAAAGATTTAAACTAGGACTAGACAGTGGTGAGGGACAGGATATATTAAATGCAAAAAAATAAGATGTAGAGAAACGTATAGCATAGGAAATAAGTATAGAAGTAGTCCTAAAGATAGGCTTAATTGTTACTATTGTAATACTAGAAGTGTAAGAAATAAAACTGATGACTTTAGAGCACTGGTAGAAATAGAGGATTTGATATCATAGGAGTAACTGAATCATGGTTAAATGTAGATGATTTTGATGACAGAAATGTCTTTGAAATACAGGGTTATAGGTAATTAAATAGGGATAGAGTACTAAAAAGAGGGGGAGGAGTGAGTTTAAGATTTCATCTGTTAAAGAGGTCATAATTGTGAGTGATTTTAATTTCAGGCATATAGATTGGGAAATGCTACAGTCAAGCCATGAGAGAGAAATGTTTTTGGAAACTGTTCAAAATGGTTTTCTTCACCAATTGGTCAAGGAAGCTACTAGAAACAATGCTATTTTAGATTTATTGTTAACTTCAATAGAAATTGGGGAATATCTAGGTGCAAGTGATCATTGCTCTATTAGGTTTGATGTTTTGCTGCATATGGCAATCAGAAATAATGATATTTTGGTTACAAATTTTAAAAAAGCTAATTTTGAAGGATGTGACAAGAACCATCTGTTGTGAAATGAGCAGTTTAGTTATTTGGAGACATTGATCAAATGTGGAAAATTTTTAAGGTTAAAAAGGGTGGCTGCAGGTAAAAAACCAGGTTGGCTCACAAAGGGTCTAAGAGATAAAATTAAAGAAAAGCATCACAAATTTAAAAAAATTAAACTGACTAGTATGACAGGAGACTTAGAAGATCAAGAAAGTTGGTCAAACAGTAAATTAGGACATCAAAAAGGTGTATGAAAAAAAGGTTGGCTGAAAATGTAAAAATTAACAGTAAGGATTTGTTTAAGTACATTAAGGGTAAACAAAATGTTATAATTGAGGTAGGACCCTTGGGGGATCATAAAAGAATGCTTGTATCTGATAATTATGAGATGGCTGGGTTATTAAATTCTGTCTTTTCTTCAGTGTTTACTAAAGAAGATTTAAGCAGTATTTTTTTGATGAACTCCCTTCCCAAGCGACATAAAACTTTTCAAAGCTTGTGACAAATTATTTCCTACATTCATTTTTTTACAAGTTATCTCTGATACAAATTTACTTCAAATATTTAAGTACAATCTGCTCATACCATTGTTAGTGTTTATTTGCTCTGTTAAAACTGTTGAATTTATGAATAGGTTCCTTCTTCAAGGCTGTATGGCTGGTTGTCATTCTTTTGTGTTATTGAAGAAAAAAGAACAAGAAAAGAAGGTAAATGTGTTATGGTAGTTTTTTTATGTGTTTTGAACACATGTATATATCATGACAGTTTTGTTAGGTAAAGAAAGTTTGTCTATTTTTGATGGGAAAAAAAATAATTATTTGTGTATTATGCATGCACAAAGTTTGAATATTGTTTATGCCATACCTAAGGGAGGAAGATCAGAAACAATATTCAATCTGTATGTGCTCATAATGGTTCTCAGAGTTTAATCTTAAAAATTCTCTTAGATGTTGCATAAAGATAGAAATATAATTCAAAATTAATGACATTCAGTTATATTGTAGTGTTAGTTACTATTCTTTTATTCCGAGGGATGACCTGAGTTGATTTCAAGTAATACGAAACTCTAAATAAAGTCTTCAGAACAGTATTTTAAGTAATTTAGTAGCATTTATTTAAGGTAAAATATAACTTTATATATTTATTTCTTAGGAATGAAACAGAGAACAATAAAACAGTCAGTCAAACATATTAATAGCATAAATATGAAAAAATAGAAAACTCAGCTATAACAGAACATGTAAAAACAACACAATATAGAAATTTTATGGGAAAAAAATCTACAATTTTAGCTCAACCTCATAATATTACAGCTTTAATTGTCAAAGAATCACTAGAAATAATAAAATATAAAAGAAGTATTAAACAGAGATGAGGGCCCATCAAGTCAAAGCATTGATATTTGTTGTGATGTAATGTAAAGGTTAACTAAGGAATTATGTAAATACAAAAGCAGTGTAATATCACATGACAAGAAATAGAAAATAAATGTATAAATTAGTATGTCTTGCAGATAACGACGTAGAGGAAGACGAAACATTGTACTTGTAGGTTGTATTTTTAAAGTGGAAGCTGTTGATGGCTTCAATAAAATGTTTAAAGTTGTGTAAATATGAAATGATTTTAATTATTTATCAAATATTAATGGCAATTTTGACTTGTCTGATATTAATATGATTTAGTGATGAACATACTTATTTAGTTTATGTTTATTAATTTACCATAAAGTTTTGATATTTAAATAGTGAGATCAGATCAAAATTATAATATAAAAAGGTTTAATGAAGAAGATTAGCACATCATATAAAACTATGAACAAAGAACATGCAATATATTTGTCCAGTTATTTGACTTTTGTTATGTTTGTAACAATATATAATTCTCATGGAACAATGGCTTGCAGGGTAATTAATGCCAACAAGTAGTGTTACAGACTTAGCACCTATAATTTGCCCATATCAAAGATTTTCAGCCAATAAACTATAGACTTTACTTGTAGCATGCAAATACTAAATAGCTTATTCTCCTATAGTGTACATTTCTTAACTAAAAACTTCTTAAATGTTTCTAAGTTCTAATTTCAAATATGCTAAATCTGGTTGAGAAAGTGTGAGTTGTTACTTCTGTAGGTTGATTGTTGATTGGGATATTTGCATTGTGTCCTTCTTGACTATTGAGAATAAAAGTAAAAATTTGCTTTTGATATATGTTCAATGGTCTGAAGTTCTTGCAATGTAACATCAGTATTTCTGACAACAACAACCTAACATAAGAAAAGGTTAGAAACTCAACATTCAACATTTGTGAAAAAATAAAAAAATAAATGTTACTTCTGATAAAAACCAGAAACACATAGCTTATTGACAATGACATTTTCTTGTTTTATTCTTTGTCCAGATCCTCAATATTGAGCCTTGATTCTTGGCAGTTATCACATGCCAAGGAACACTTCATGGCATGTTTGAAGCAAGGATGTCACATGTTCACACACAGTCCTTTGCATTTACATTGGATTCCAACAAGAATAGACTGGTGGCAAATCAATCATGACAGGTAGTAGTCTGCCTTCTTTCTCTGTCCAATTCTCTTGGTGGTGACAGAGATAAGAATTGTCCTGCCTAAAGGTCCACTTATTGAATTGAAAGTACATCAATAAAAATGATATTTAGAAAGAAGCACATGATGTAAGTGAAAGTTTTCAGGTTGTATAAAAGTTGTTGCCTTTGCAACTTTCAATACAAACATCTCATGTTGAAAGTTATCCAGAGTTGAACCATTTTTTCAATTGTTGAAACCCACAAGATGCTACTATTTCTTTCTTGTTGGCATTCCTGGCAGAAGATTTAGCAACTGCTTGTTTAAATTCTTCATTTTCATGAATCACTTACAAAAATCCTTTTTTCTTATGCCAAAGACATGGGAGGTGGTGTCATAACCATCAACATTGTGAATGCACAAAATTACATATGCAAGTTCTTCTCCAAGTTTCTCTTGGAGACACAGAATATACCACACCTTTTGAGAATGATTCTTTTGCCTTATTTTGAAAGTACAAATGAGTTTAGATGATCTAAACTCTAGTGCTAGCATAGAAAACATGTCTCCCTTTATCATTCAATCTTTCTTTTAAGTATCAAATCAGGCTCTGTTTGTTAGCTTGGTTGCTAAGGAAGTCTCCTTTCCTAGCTGCAAATATCATGTTTAATCATAACAGCTGACCTTCTAAAATTAGAAACATCTTTGATGGACATGCTTTCATCATAACTATAAAGTACTACATGTCTGCACAGGAACCCAGACATTTAGAGAGTATGCTGAATAATTAACAACAGGCTCACAAGAGAAGACAGATTGCAGATTCTGTAACATTCACTAATTTAAAGTAGTGAGTCCCATATTAGGCTGGTCACTAATTTGGAAGAAAACAAGTGTGTGTCTGTGTGTATTTCTTCAGGTGTATTGGTTGGCACAAGAATGATAGTGCTTTATGTGGGCTTGGTATGTTCTTGTAAAATTACACAATGTAAGATACAGTTTTTAGTTGATACTGGTTCAGCTAAAACTACTTTATCACATGTTGTATCAGTCAGTATCATGTAAGCCACCACTCTGGCCAATAGCTACACACTTTTGTCTTGTAAGTGCTGGTCAGCTAGTAGTGATGAAGAGAGTCAACTCTGCAAATGAGCATGCGACAAACCTCCATCAATAGGATTGTGAAACACACTCCTAGCACAGCTGACTCCCTCTGTACTGTAGAGCACTTCTTGATTTGACATTCTAGTGTGAAGTTGTGTTCAATTTTTACTCTATACTTACAATTATCATGTGCACTCTTGATTAATTCTAATGTGTTTTGACAACTCTTAGTTTATTTTCATTTATTTGTTGTTTACTTAGTATTTGTGGAATATATTTCTTTTCTCATTTCCACATAATTTTACTACAGTACCTTCTGTTGTGGACCTGGCCACTAATATCCACCACCACTTACTACTTCTGTGTCTTTGTGGTCTACATATTTTGTGGAGGAAGTTTTGGTCATGGTACATCACAAGTTGTGAACTATCTTGTGGTCTGCTAGGTCTCTGGAACTCAGGCCAAATCTCCCATTTCTAGGGGAATTTGGTCCTGATGAAGGAGACTTGATCATCCTTTTCCCATCTCCAGCTTTTGCTGCACCATCCCGTGCTACCCCTCTGGATTTTTCTCATCATCATTTATTTTTTTGGGGTCATGATTTCCATCCACCTCTTTTCCAAGGCTATCCACTGTTCTCCTGAGGGAGGTTTGGCAGATACATGTTCCCTTCTCTTTCCCGTGTTGGTGAACTTATCTTCCTCAGTCTTATCCCTTCATACAGGGAACTTATTTTTGAAGGTGGTAGTAGTACAGGGACTTATTTGAGCTGCTTTATCATTTTTTATGTTTACACATAGAAATTTTCTTTTTCAAAAACAGGACCACTTCATTCGGATGAGTACATTTTTTTTTTTAGGATTTCATACATGGCTCCTTTGTCGTTGGGATATCCATGGAATGGATGACCTCTTGTCTCACGTCCGTCTACCTGCTTCCTATTTGTAAGACCCCTGTTTCACCCATTTTTTATGACAGTCTGTTTTGGGGGATCTTTCTGACACTTTGAAGCCTCAGTTGGAGGCTGCACATCAACATTTCTCCTCTTCCTCCCTTGTTTCTTGTTTTTCCCAAACCTTTCCTATCCATTCTCCCATGTTTCTGCGGTGAGTTGCCAAATTGCCCATCATGGTGTTTTCCAACACCAGTTTCGTTGGTTACTATCTCGTGGGTTCTGGCATGGTTGACCAATTTCGTTCAGTGGCCCTGGGTTCTTCAGGTTGTAACAGAAGGACTATCTCTTCCTTTTCCTGCCCTCTTTACCTTCATGACCCATTTCCTTTGCCCCTCCTTGGGATCCCATTTCATGCCACCATCTCCTGGAGATAGTTCACAGTATTTTGTGCAAGAACACTATTGAACAAGTATTTCACACTTCTCCAGGTTTGTATTCTTAGTTTTTCACTGTTCTCAAGATAACTAGGGATTTGCATCCTGTCACTTCAACCTCAAGCTCTTCATCTTCTTCCTGTGGTTCACCATGAAGTCTCTCTTCACACATCATTGTTCATTTACTCCAGGTCTTTGTATGATAAAGGTCAACTTCTCAGATGCTTACCTTCATATCTCCATCTCTCACGCATCCAGACTTTACCTTCATTTTCTTCACTGGGGTTGAGTGTTTCAGTTTGGCATCAGCACCATACATCTTCTGGCATGTGGCCATAGCCATGCAGTTCTATTATTATATGGAAGACTGGCTCCTTTTAGCTCTGTACCAACAAGCCTGTCACTCACTTGCCCATTTCTTCCTACAAGAGGCAGCTCATGTGGGATGGCTTGTCAAGCAGGAGAAGTCCTATCTCTCCCCCACACAGTATCTTACACATTTGGGGTATTTTTCAACTCCTACCTCAGCAAGGCACAGCCTTCTCCTCTTCATCCGAGGTTATTGGAGCTCTTGGTTTCCAAAATCAAGTTCTTTCCTTCTGTACCTGGACATTGGTCCTACCTCTTTTAGAGACCTGGGGTACTATGGGCATTACCATCCTTTTCTTTCCTACCCTACGAGTTGACTCTGCTTTTTGGTTCGATAGAGACAACATCTTGGCTAGTGTTCATCTGCCTC